TCCTTGCTGAATGTATATTATATGTAGCTTCAAGAGCTTCAAAGCACTGAAGCCACATAAAAACTTGGCCAGCTTCCAAGACTAGCTCTCACATCGTGGAGACTTGTCTGAAGGGTTAACACGAACGCACCCATTTATCAACTATTCATCGGGAGTTTCATATAGCGAATTAGTGTAGGTGCTTAAGGCGACCCCCAAAGTCCACATGGCTTATCGTTATTATCATATCATAAACGGCAAAATTAAATGATCCCTCTATAGATGGAAGTACTCTCAAACTAGTCATTTCATTACTTTGCAAAAGTTCGAAAAACGTGAGCAGTATGAATCTTGATACTAAAAACTAAGAATTATTTGCACAAGAAGGAGAAAAGTGAAAAAACTTGAGAAAAATGACATCATTTTATAGAGTTATCTCCATTCTCTTCAAATTCCATTGAAATACAAGTTTATGCTGTGATTATCAAGATGAACCAGCACTACTAAGCAAAAAAACATTTTTTGATCAATTTTATTGAATTATTCGACATTGCAGGGAATTGACACATTACTTAAAAGACTGACCAGTCTAGCAAGTTTTTTTTTAAATTATTAAAAAGTCTGAAGAACTTACGCAAACCGGTTGTACACTCAAGAACGACTGAAAAGAATAGGTTTATGTAAAAGAGATTCCGCACTATTATAACAAATAAATATTATTTGTACACTATAGAAATTATGCAATCACAGAAATCATCCAGACGTTTACATGGCAATCTAACAGGAAGATATGATCGACAGACGGAATATATAGAAAGCTACTATGGTTGGGCACGTAACCCGAGAGCATTTAGGGCAAGACGTTATTATGAACAGTGCTGAGATAAGAACACATATGAATTATGCAGAAATGCACCATATCACAATACTGGCAAGATAAAATATTGGCAAATACAAGAAGAATAAGATATTGACTCTAAAGCACTAAACTTTGCAGCACGTTGCGAAAGTCAAGTTAAAACTGTTGTCGTATATAAACGGACTCTGAACAACTAGTGAAAGATTTTAGTTGAAAGCTTTTGGGGAGAAACTTTTCTAAGAATGCATGAATGCGCTATCACTACAAAAGAGAACTTTAAGAGAAAAAGATATATCTGAACAAAGCTATAGAAATCAAAGTGAGAAGACAACTGCATCTTAAAAGATAAAAATTGCATAGATAGAAGAACAGGAAGAATAGTACCGGCTTATGGGACTGCAACAATTTCAGTTTACTCTTCATGGAAAAGAAGTCTTGCCAGTTGATCCTTTGCAGCAACATTTTCACGTTTACTTGCCATACATCGGGAGTAATCCTCCTCAACCAAATCAGAGTCGCACGTTTTCTGATGATATCTAAAAAAGTCAAATGCTCAATAAATAGCTTATTTTGGAGAAAGATAATCAAGCACGCGTAAATTATGAGATCGTTCCTCCCTCCGCGAAAACCTCGCTTCAAAATTTGAACTCTTTCCTCAGATCATCAAACATAGATTATTTTCATAAAATTAATCGAAAACCAACCTGATTCTAAGGGTTGGTTCTATTGCACGCAGGACATGGACCTCATCTTGGTTCAAGAATGCTGTAATCAAATCCAGGCGTTTTCCACTCAATTTCGGTCGCATTGTCACATAATCTGAGCCGTACACAGCCATGCAAGAAAAATCGAGTGAATCAAAGCGACCATGGTCCTAAATAATACTGCCTTCAACAGCAAAGGAGCAAAACCAGTATTACATATTAGCACTACCTTTTGCACTATCAATGGTCTTTTTCTCTTTGGCGGTGACGAATCTCGCAATCGTGCCAAAGCAGCCTCACGAGCTTCTTTTTGGTCGGTAGGAACCTGAATGAAGACAGTAAGCCCTGACAAAGCATGGAGTACTTGACATTATGCTGACCTCATGTTCCTCCACATCCATTCCTGATATTGTTGGGTGATACTCCACAAATGGTATCGGGAAAAATACCTAAGAATCTCCTTTAGCTGAAAATATATGTTTAAGCATCAGTTTTTTAGACCAACCTGATAGTGCTTGATGGTGTTGATACGAGAGCGATCCAGGAATTCTTTCTGTATATCTGCATATGGAGACAGTAACAAAAATATCGATCCACTTCCATAGCGGTCAATCGCCTCGTCTAATGCCGCACTTCCACCGCCTACATCTCCGGCTGTTCCTTCGTGTATCTTGTCTCCAGACAGACCTTGCAGCTGTAGCAGATCTGATTCTAGACCAGAGCGTTTGCACCTAGAGAAAGAAGAGCATCCATTTCATGATTACGTAGAGATTTATCTCCTATAACAACAGCATGACTCACCTCCTTTTCAACTCCTCCAGATCATTCCCAATGTTTGTAGCAGAGCGAGGATCAATCCCAGGCAGCAGCGCTACCACCACGCGCGTCTTAAACACAGGAAAACTTCCATAAACGTGCTTCAGCCCTATATTTCCGAACCAACCTTCCTTGTCTCTTCAGCTGGTGCAGTGCAGAGCCGAGCATGTCTTGCTAATAGACGTCTCGCTGGTAACACCTCTGATTCATCAGCTACTGGTACAACTATGGTCATATCTGTGTCCTCTTTGACGTAAGGAACCTATTGAAAAATTTT